TTTAGCATGTGCCCGATATTTACCTTTTTAATGAATGAATCAGTGTTCGGATGCCATTGTTATATACATGAAAAGCCACATGCTGTTTTCAGTTGCAAGTGTGTGTGGTGACATTCACCTGGTAGGTTGTGGGTATGAGTGCTTCTGCCCAGAACACTTACTACCCCGCCTGCTGCGCTGAGGTGAGAGGCAGCTCTGCTGCTTATACATTTGTTTTCCTAAGGGGAACTTTGCTCCCCAATCTAAGGCAGCTGTATAATTTCACTTACAGTCTCAGTTGTTTCTCATTTGCCATCTGGCCATGTAATTACTTTTAAGTAAAGTTTTGTATAGGATGAAAGAACACGAGTTGGAAATCTGTAATAATATGTATGGTAATATGATAATATTTGCTTTAGTTGTTGTTTGCTTTGCTTTTGTTGTTGCTCAAAGTATAAGCTTAAGGGAGGGGAAAGATTTGCGGAGGAATCGTTCCAAAGCTTTCCTCAGAGGGAGCCCCTTATATAAATTTTATTCTTTGACTAAGAGCTTTTGTTATAAACTAAGTGTTTTGAATTAGTGGATTATTACATTTTTCCATTCAATTATAAGTCTGGCCCAAAGCTATGAAACAAGAAGTTGTCTAATGTGTTTCAAAAGCTGTTTTGCTGTAAAGTGGAATTGGGGGGGTATGTGAGGAGCATTATTGCCTTTTGTTCATTTTCATCGTATTTCCTGATCAGTACTCTTTTCCTTTTGTTCCTGTTCCTTCGCCCAGAATATATTTGTCTGGTGCCGCTTATACCCCATTTCTGACACTCTCTCTATTTGTGTTTCCCCAGTTCTCTGAGGTTAGTACAAATGGACAAAAGAACCAGAACTCAGTACAGCATTATAGTCACATTAAGGAGAAACCCAAATAATGTCTGTTTGAAATTACTCTCCTCACTTCGGGAAGCGCGCGCGTGCGTGCGTGCGTGCGTGTGTGTGTGTGTGTGTGTGTGTGTGTGTGTGTAACTTTTTAGCCAGGTGCTTAGATGATAATTAAATTTAAAATACAGATTTAAATGATTAGGGTACTTTATTTTGAATGATTACTTGATCTAATTTCTCCTGGAGTGGGGAAGTTGGGGTCTTGGGGAGGGAGGGAGTTGTGACAGCTAGATGCAAATAAGATCAAACTTTGGAGCAATTTCAATGCTGATTTCTCAGTCGCTGGCTGGAAAAAAAAACTGGGAGAGAAGTCAGGGCATACTAATTTGCACGAAAATGCAACTGAGTCATCACTTACAGCTCAATGGATATTCTGTTGTAAAGTTTTACTGCTTGTAAACACTCCTTTGGGGTGGCAGGCCGAGCCTGGGGGCGTGGTCGGGGAAACAATAGTTTGGCTCTTTTTTCCCCTTAAATCAGTACCAATGCCTGAATTAACTGGAGAGTCAAAGAATCAACACAGACTTGCTCTAAAACTTGCCGGCTGCAGTAAAAAGATCCGGACGTTCATCGTGGCCTAGTGAAAATGGGGATTATGTTGGCTTCATCTCGACTTCCTTAGAGGCAGCCTGTACCATTCTGTGACTCCAGAGAGGAGAAACTTCTGATCTGTCGGAGAGAAAACTGAATAAATGAGCCCTGAGGCAGAAAGACTGGTGTGGCTCTCATGCAAATAAGAACCCTGATTGGCTTTCGCTTTCTGCACATGTTGTCACTGGCGGCTCTCAGCCTTAAAGATAAGGTTTCAGTGGGAGGTTTTCAGGTTCAAGGACTGTTAATGGTTTGTAACTGCCTGACAATAAGCTCAACCTCTAAGTTACATCAACCCGGGCAGATGTCTAATGATATGAGAACAGAGCAAGGAGTTAGAATCTGGAGTGGAAGGATGCAGCTTGCCACCTGCCTGCTGGACTGAGCTTTTAATGTGATTTAAATTTCGAAGCCCTATGTGGGCATCCTGGAAATGGTGGTCTTCATTAATGCAAAGATCAAGTCTTTCTTTAAACTTTTTAAGAAGAAAAGTAAGTAGTTTCTTTTCTCCCCACTGTGTGTGTGTGTGTGTGTGTGTGTGTGTGTGTGTGTGTGTGTGTGTTTGCACACGTTTTATGTACTATTTCATCTTTTGAGAGGCGGAATTAGAGTGTGAAGCAGCATAATTGACACAAGTTAAACTCCATTCAAATACCTCAGACTTTTTTAACTCCAGGGCAGAATTATGCGATCTCAGCAAGCCTAATTTATTTGTGGTTCAGATTTCAGGTGAATTTACAGCTTTTGTGCTTCTCAAAAGCCCTTTGAAGAAGGTGGAGGGGGGAACCTTGTATTTACTTCATGTCCACCCTGATTATGGTTTTTTGATTCTTTGGCTTACTGTGCAGGGAACCTCTGTGTAATGTGTCACATATTTCTGGTGGCGATGATCCTCTAACTGTCCCGGCACTCCTCTGTTTTGTATTTCAGAGCAGGACAGACTCTGTCTAGGCTGGTCAGTCGTGAAGTACACAGCTTTCTTGGAGTGGCTTCATTGTGTACTTACCATTGGTTTTCAATTTCTTTAATGCAGTTGCTTCTTCATTCCCTGGAAAAGTATAATTTTTACACATACCTGGTTTTATTTTTACATAATCATTGGTTGTTGAGTTTTAGTTCACTTTAGTTTTAGGCCCAGTGATTTCAACTGGATAAATGTGCATGGGTAGGAGCCCTTGGTAAGAGAAACTCTGGAGAAAGCAGCAAAGAACTGCACCCTGGGGTCACTTTCTGCAGCTCTCCTGCTCGAAGGCTGCCTTTGGGTAGACTGATTAAATGATTAAAATCTTCCCTCGCAAGATGAGAAAACCAGGGAAGAGACACCTGCTCTTTCATAGCAGCCAGTTGGTAGCTGTACAGTGGGACTAATGGTGTGATTACACAGACTCGAGTACCATTACTTCGATTTGATTTGTAATTGGCAAATAGGAAGAGTTTCAATTTTCAATATTTTCCAACTATGAAGGATATAATTCAGTCTTTCAAATAAATGGACATCAGCACAAAACATTGTAATTAACTAGGGTTCCGCTCCTCTGGGGTGCATATGGTGAGTTCCACACTGTGCAAGATTTTCAGATACGTAAGTAAGAACTAAGTCAGGTCTTTGTGGATGTTATGTATTAAGATTAAGAGCTGTATACACCGTGCGAAACATTTATTCAACAAGAGGTTACGTGAAATACAAGGTGCCTAATTTACATACTTCTTTGTCAAACATTAAAAGCAGAAAACACACAGGACATTTCTGTTTTTAACTTGATGTCTAGTTCTCAATGTTTATTTTTCCATTTAGCAATTGATGCAGAAGGGGGGGAGGGGATCATTTAGGAAATGAACTATTTGGAAGCAAGGCTTGTAGAATTTTGTAGCTGTAGAAAAGATGGTCTGTGGAGTGAGAGCTAACCTGTGGCAGGTTCCTGCGAGTGCTGGGAAAGGCCAACCTCCCTCCTTAATGGTGGTTCTAAAGTCAGGGGTTCCTTTGGAGTTATTTCACTGCTCCTGCCACCAGGTTTTACATGAGTTATTTTGTGAGCTAAGACTTTACATTATGAGTTCACTTAATCTTTATATTAGCTCTAGTAGAGGTGCTTTGGGGTTCACTGTGTTAATTTTATTTTTATTCATTTATTTTAAATATATCTTTATTGATTTCAGAGAGAGAGGGGAAGAGAGAGATAGAAACATCAATGATGAGAGAGTCATTGATCGGCTGCCTCCTGCACGCCCCTGACTGGGGATCAAGCCTGCAACCCGGGCATGTGCCCTGACTGGGAATCGAACCGTGGTCTCCTGGATCCTAGGTCGACGCTCAACTGCTGAGCCACGCCTGGCCAGGCTCACTGTGTTAATTTTAAATATGTTCAAGTAGAAAGTTCAACAGTTCATGCATGCTAGTTCATTTTATTTTGAGAATCTGTTTTATGGTTTAGTTTACCAGAGATGTGGTATCTGTAGACATGGGTATGCCCAGTGTGTACTCAGGGTTAGGGAAGACTTGCCCCTGACACACAATTGTAGTATCTGCTGATTTTGCAGGTGTTATACTTGTCACCCTCTGTAAATGACTCAGCATAGGGTCTTTCTCTTATAGTCCTGTAGTCTGTGCTTGGCTTACAGTGGCAGATATATTGAAAATATTTAAAAATTGTTGATGAATCTGTTTGGTGCTCTGCTGGCATGCCATTTTACATTATGTTGTCAGGGAAAGTGAAATAGACAAAGAGATCTCAAGCGTTAGGGGGAAATAAAGGAAAATTATTATAGAGATTTAGTATTATCTCATGATTACCTATCGTCTCCCCTCCCCCCGCCTAATGTTTTCATCTCTTTTGTGCTGAATTGGATTGTGTTGGGAAAAGTAAATTACATTGGAATTTTTTTAAAAAACATTTTAATATAAAAGTGTTTCATGAAAGCAAGAAATACAGAGAAAATTTTGTAGCACAAATTGATTTCTACTTCTATTAGATGTGCTATTTAAATGTATTACATTGAATGTTTGTGCTTAATTTTTTAAATTTAATTGAGTTTATAACAGTGATGAGTTAAAATAATGCTATAGGGAGAAAATATTCGGCCTCAACTCAGTAGGAAATTTGCTTCTGTTTTGACACTATCATTTACTGATGCAGTGACACCGAATAACTGAATAAGAGATACCTGCCATAGTGGACTTCAGTAGGAACTGGAGGTCTCTATCAATTCTGTCAGTCATTTTCTAACACTGGATTAGAGGGAGGGCCTAAAATTCAAGGAAGCAATTAACTGAGTAAACATTTCTACCAAAACATGATGGATAGTTTGACCAGTTCCTTTAGAGACAAAACACTGTGGGAAGGACCCCTGGAGTCTAAGATTAAATCTCATTTGCTCGATTTCCCTCTTGCGGGCTCTTGCCCATGGATGTGTTAGGCACCAAGAACCCATCTTGATGTAATACCTTTGGAGCCAGTGAAGTTTCATTTGACAGCTGAATTGATTCTCTCTTTCTACAGCGGTTTCCAACCTAGATGAGGAGAGTAGATGGACTGTCCACTACACTGCTCCATGGCACCAGCAGGAGAATGTGTTCCTTCCTGCCACAAGACCCCCCTGCTTGGAGGACCTGCACCGCCAAGCCAAGCTCAACCTCAAATCAGTACTGAGGGGTAAGATCGCGACCTGCAGGCTTGTTCTTGGATGACTGGCCATTAAAATTGAAAGCATAAATTTGATTGATATTTGTAAAAGAAAACCTCTTTATAATGAACGTATAGTGTGTGGTGTCTTTTTGAGATATCGTAATACTCTCAGCCTACATGCCTCATATATTCTGGTTTCTGTAGAAACCTGCCTATTTATAGATACATTCTCAAAGAACACACACCAGTTTAGAAACCCATTAGGGAGTTTAAAGCACCAGTACTGCCTGGCCGGGTGTGGCTCAGTGGTTGAGTGTTGTCCTAGGATGCTGGAGATGGGGGTTTAATTCCCGGTCAGGGCACATACCCTGGTTGGAGGCTTGATCTCCGGTCAGGGGCGTGCAGGAGGCAGCCGATCAATGACTCTCTCATCATTGATGTTTCTATCTCTCTCTCCCCCCCTCCTTTCCTTTCTCTGAAATCAATAAAGATATATTTTTTAAAAAATAATAAAGCACCAGTACTAATTTAATCCAATTAACCCCTGCTGACACGAGAAATTTTGCCACTGGCTTTTTGAAACCACTGTAAGTATTCAAAGCAAATTTGTTAAAGCTAACCTTTTTAATAGTTTGTTCTCTGTAGTTCGAGTTGGGAGGAAAGGGGACTGCTATGTAGACTCTGAAGGAGGGCAAATTGTTTGATTTATCAGAACTTGGGCAGCACTCACAGGGCTTCTGATGGGCAGAGTACACTGTGGTCAGCTGGAAATACAGAAAGCGTGTCCTCCTATATCTAGTTTAAAATTCTCATCTTTACTTCAACTTACTGGTGTTAAGGAGTGTAAATGTATAACAAGGGAGGGCTTCCTAAAAGTTGTAAAGAAGGGAAGAAGTTCTTTAGAAGAGGGAAAAGTGATTTTTAAGATTTAAGAGACTTTTTCTTAACACAGCAAACCAATGTTCTTATCTACTAGATGCTGCTTTACCAGTTTTCTCCTACTGTGAAATATTGGGACAAAATTATACTAAAAAAGTACTTGTTGTTTATCTAAAATTTAATTAACTGGCATCCTGTATTTTATCTAATTGTGAAATACTTAAATCTGGAAGAAATACTGTCATTGATTCAAGGAATACCCAGCATGAGGACCCTGTCTAGATTTTATGATAGTTCTTAGTTTTATATCAGTCATTTATTAAGTAATTCATTCATTAATGTACGATTACTATGACTACTGATTACTAGTCGATATTCATTGAACACTTACCTATATGCCAAGTACCATTCTCAGCCATTACAGGTATTATCTCATTTAATCCTCATAGTAATCCTACTGCTTACTATTACTGTGCCAGTTTTATATGTGAATAAATGGAGACACAAAGGTTAGAAACTTTCCCACCATCTCAAAGTTAGTGGTGGAACCAGGACTTAGACTTGGACAGCTTCAGGCTACAGAGTTCATATTCTTAACTACTGCACTGTATCGCTTTCAACAACCATTTGTTAGAAATCTTATTCTGGCCCGGCCTGCTTGGCTTCCGCAGTTGAGCATTGACCCATGAACAGTTCCATTCCCAGTTAGGGTTTCACACTCGATCCCCAACAGGGGCGTGCAGGAGGCAGCCAATCAGTGACTCTCATCATTGATATTTCTATCTCTCTCTCCTTCTCCCTAAAATCAATAAAATAAAATAAAATAAAATAAATATATATATAAAGAAAACTCTTATTCTGGCAGAAGTGTAGAATACAAAGGCAGAGTCTTGGCTGTCAAGGAATTTATACTTTTATTTATAGTGCAAATCACAATGTGCAAAATACTCTAGATGGGCCAGAAATTGCTGTATGGGAGTTAGAGAAAGTGGATAACCTCTGCTTAGAGAGAGAAGCAATAACTATTAAGGATTCACAGTAGATTTGGAATTCTGAACAGACCTATACAGACCATAGGTCATAGCCCCCTTTTTTGTTCCTTTAATCTTACAACACTTAGATGATCTCATATGTGTCTTATAGTCTTGGCATTTAACTGTCTAGAAATGAGGGCATTAGTGGGTTCCCTTTCTCATTAACCTGAGGAGCCCTATATACTTAGTGACTAAATGAGAAGAATGGCATTAGTCGGGCTCATTTGTATGGCCTTGGAGTTGACCTTTGCCTTCCTGATGTTGGTCACGTAATGCATGTAAATCCAGCCACAATTTCTTCTAGATCTCTTCAGTTCTTAGGGATTATCTTTAGTAAATTTTGACAAGGAGCTTCTCTACTTCTAGCTCACCTTCCTCCCCCAAATAATTAGAGTATTAAATGGCTCTGTTCCCAGGACCAAGCCCTGAGGCAGTGCAGTTGTTAGCATTCCTCTCAGAGCGCTGCACTGCCTGGCCTGGCCTGTAGAGAAAGCTTTTGGAAGGATGTGTGAGTTTGAATATTCAGGCCCAGCTTTTTTTAATCACTGTCCAGGAAACTGTGCTTCCCTACCTCTTTCATGTATTTCAAGTATCAAACCAGAGCTGCTCTTTCCTTCCCTTAGAAAATTAAACATCTGCATATAGATTTTTCTGATTTTCTTTTCTTTTTGACTCTTCAGTAGATCCATATAAAATATCATCATCACTGGTTTTGCCTATACTTGGATTTAATTTTGAAAAGGTAAATGCTTTAGTAATTTCTTTAATGCCCTAAGATGGATCATTGAAGGGATTTACCATTAATAAAATTAATAACTTTGGAAAACTCTTGGAGCTCAACTTTTTTTAAATTTTAAATTCGCACCTGAGTACATGCTTTTCTTAATGATTTTAGAGAGGGGGGATGAGAGAGAGAGAGAAAGAGAAATATTGATGTGAGAGAGAAAAATCAGTCAGTTGCTTCTCGTACACTCCCCAACTGGGGATTGAACCTGCAACCTGGGTATGTGCCCTGGCTGGAATCCAGCCCACAACCTGTTGGTGTGCGGAATCAGCCAGCCAGCCAGGGCAGAGCTCAACTTGTAAAGTCTGGATTTAAATACTCCTTAAGAGGTTGTAGATAAATAATAACTGTAAGAACAGTGGTTGACAAAGATGAAATAAGAAAGCATTTGAGTTCTTTTTTTCTTCATTTATTTACTTTTAATCACATGTACAGGACTTCACGTACCACGTCCCCTGCACCATGCTAGCAGGCTAAGATAAACAGGAAATGAGTGCAGAGTACTTATTGCCTCTTTATCAGTGAGGGTTAAAAAGAAAAAAATCAGCCCCTGAATATGTGACACTATTAAGGTATGATGTTATGTAAAGTTATATCAGTCTAAGTTAATTTGACCTTCATGCTCTTTGCTTAAAAATCTAGAAAGGTAGCTAAGTGTTCACAATGAGTAAGCTATTTTGTTTCTTCTATTCTTACTATGACCTTTACCATAATTTTAAGGAAGAAATACTACCCTTGAATGTTAAACAGGTTGGTGTTTTTTCATAGTCATTAAGTGCTCATTGTATGAACTATTGTGTCAATTTTTATGGGGAGCTCTGCTCTGCTCCCGAGAATCATAAAATATGGAGGGAAATGATACAGTGGGTACTAAGTGTTATAAACATTTGCTTATTAAAGCAAAGCAGAAATGCTTAGTGGTCAGTAGAGTGATTGAGGAAGGCACCAGGTTTACCAAAAATGTTATTAAAAAACTAAGTTTGATTTAAGATATAAAGGCAAGTAATAGACACAGTTTAATAAATATTTGAGCATCACTTCTCTAGTATGATAGGAGTTTTTAAATGAATGGGTGAAAGATTGTGGGTCCTTAACTTTAAAGAGCTGCTCTTGCTTTCTTGTGTCAGGACTGAAGCAAACAGACAGTAGTGTACTGGAGATATGTGTATGAGATGCTGAGGGCACATAGGGAGGGAGAGTTCAGTTAGCTGGAAGAGAAGTGGCATTGGGAAGCCCCCTCCCCTGCTCTCCCAGTCCTCCTTAGGAGAGGAGATGGGCTTCCAGGGCCTGTGGAACACCCGGCTCAGGCATCTTCCATGTGCAATTTTTCTCTGTTCTGGTCCAATAGAGCAGAGATCTTTAGCATTTATCGTTGGCTTGTCTCTGGAGAATCTGATAGAATTTGTTGGCCATGCTTTTAGATCAAACGATTTGGTTTTGTTGATTTATTTCTTACTAGAGATAAACAGGTATAGCAAGTTCTCACTTGGAGCTACAACAAAATGACATATAATGACACCAATTTTATGGCTAATTGATATAAACAAGAGTTACTTTCCTACAGTATCTCATAAATGTTATAACGAAACACTGTTGAACAAAACAACACTATTGGAGGGCCTACTGTACCTGGATGTAAAACTAGTATTTTGATATTTGGGTCTGCAGGATATCTGGCTAGAAATGAAGAGTAAATTTCTGAAAATGGATCCCATTATCCATAAAGAATTCACTCAGCTTTTTATTGAATTTCCAGAAGAATTCTACCTTTTTAATCTCCACAGTTGTTTGAACCCTTCATGGACTTCATCAGTTAGCTGTGGTGATAAGCAACTTTTACCTAACTGGATTTTTATCTGGATAATTTTTAGCTTTATTAAGTGGGCAAGGGGGAATTGAGGGGAAGGGGTGGGCTTGCTCTGGCTCAATGAGAGGTTCAGATTTTATTTCTTAACAACCTATAGAGCTCATTTGAAAATTAAGAGCATATTAAAGGCTGAAAGAAAGCTGTGTTATTTTTAAGACTCCATCCCCAAAAAGCCCAGCTTGGGAGAGAGGTAAACATACTTTCTCACAGTGTGTTTAACAGGCAGTTTAGTTACTGTATCTGTGTACATTCCTGCCCAAATTAGTTCCCAAGAGCATCTGTTGCTGGTGTCAGAAACGTTCCTTAGTCACAGCTCTCTTTCCTGAGGAAATCCATTTTAGCAGGTCAGCCTGCTCTGTGGTTCTAGAATTGGAAGTGTGAGCACAGGGAGGAATGTTGAATCTGGCCTGTGTTGACTCAAAGTCAGAGGGTTTCATTTATTATATCTGGAGATATTGGAGTT